TTGATTAAGTGGCGTCGGGAAATGAAAGCCTCACATCATCCTTAAGCGTGGAGAGTTCTCGCTTCACCCTCTGCGTCCAGTGCTCCTTCTTGGTGCTGGTCTTGGACGACATTAGTGAATGCTAGAAGACTGAGTGCTAACAGTTCGAACCGAAGCCTTCCTCTCAGGTTACACACTCTACTTTCAATTAGGCAGTCAAGCAATGTTCAACATCAATGAGACGGTCAATCAATGTTCAACATCAAATAGCAACACATCAAGTCTTCCCAAGAGCTCATTCCAGTGTTTCAAGGGAGACGCTCACTGAAGTCGGTATGATGCTCAGTGGCATCGTGCCAAACGTGGCTCACATCTTAGCACACGGAACAGCCAAACAACTGTGCGAATGGCTTCATCGTGGCTATGGGGATTGATGCAATCACGGCTCAACCTCGTCATCGTCCGTGTCCTCTTCCTCGCTTTCCTCTTCCTCGTTCTGGTTATGCATGAACGTGATGCCCTGCAACATCTCATCGGGCAAGGAAGCGTCCACCACGTTGCCGAAGTCAACCCCCGAGTTCTTCAACTCAACACGGTTCCTCTGGTGAAAGTCCACCTTGTCCCCGCAGGAGAGCGACAGCTTCAGGCATGCATCCTTGCGAAACTTCTTGGAGCCCATAGCGATGAAGCGATTGACCTGTTGCATGATGGCTCGGCGGAGTTGACCAACAGGCTCACCAGCAGCAATCTCAACCATGAAGGTCAAATTGCGGAACCTCACCCGAATGGTCAGCATCTGACCACGTGCGGCAGCGTCAGTAGCAGACTTCAAAGCCCGACGCTCACGTGTACGACGCTTGGTCTCTTCCTTCTTGGTGATGGTCTTCCTATCCGAGAGAACCTGCTTCACCATCTTCGATTTCTCAGCAAACTCAAGGTGCATCTGATGGAAACGCTCGGTCAACGCCTCCAAGGTGTCATCCGAGGAAGCCGAGATGTCCTGAAGCAACTGCTCTGACAAGACCAGTTGGTTGATGATGTCCTGATCATCAGTCTGCTGTGGTTGATCGGTTTCAACTCGATGGGTTGGCGACTGCTCATCCGAAGGAGCATAGTCGGGGCTCTGCTTAGGCGCCATTGCAAGGACGGTTAGTTGAACACTACAAACTTGAATGATGAGAGGCTGTCCGTTCGTAAGCATCGGTCAACCCTCTCTCAATTACAACCTGCTTTCCTGATACAATGAAAAGCCACCAATTTTGACTAAAACGATGACAAAACAAATACACCACCAAAACCCCAGAACTTGATAACTACTAAAAGGGCTACCTCTTTCAAATGAAAAAAATGTCGGCCCCCAGCCCAACAATGAACAAGGGGGGCAATTACCAAAATGATTACCTTAACGAAAACGATAAATAAGCTCCCTAAAAACCCTCTTTTAAAAACGAATAAGGGGGAACACAGATTTGAGATGAACATAAAAACCAGAACAGGCAACCCTCAACAGACCACCCCCCAGGCCCCCTACTTTCTCCATTTTTTCTCCCTCCCCCTCCCCTCCCTCCCCCCCAGCCCCCATGAGCATGGGAGTGCATGGCAACCGTCTTCCAAGTTTGTTGGTGGCGACCTCAGCCATCTGCCGAGGTGAGGGCAGTGCTTGCCGGGGCTTCGGCCGGGGCCCTTGGGATGGAAGCCAGGCATCCGTGTGCCAGCCCCCAAAGGCCCATAGGTGTCCTTTTTAGGTTAGTTTGGTTCAAATAGATGGCACTGGTTTAGATGGGGTTTAGTCCATTTACCAGGGCCAGCTATTTTGACAAAAGGCCACCTATGTCAGCCCCCCTTGTTTTGGTGTGTGTCTGTCCTGTTTCAGAGGACATGCACCCGCAGAGCACATGTCTGTCTGTGTTACCCGCGCGCACCTGCACAGCCATGCACCCCCGTCGCACGCGCCCGGCCTCAGCTTCGGCGAGGCTGGGTGACCTTTTCCACCGCCGAGGAGGCTCAGGCAGCGGAGCCCACAAGTGGGGCGGTCCTTTTTGAGGGGGCCCTTGTGGGGTCAAAGCAACCAGGTCGAAGACAATCCCGAAGGTGGCTTCCCATGTAAGGTAGCCCAGAGATGTTGAGTTTCCGAAAAGAATGCCGAAAGAGGGGCTTGCAGTTGGTTGGCTTTTTCCACCCAGTTACCCTTTGCCCAACCCCCAAAAGACAGAGCCAAATGACTGGGTGTTGAAAGGTTGAGCACCGCCTCGTGGCTGCAAAATGAACGAGTGACTTTGTTCGGTGGGGTTGATGTTTAAAGGCGGGGTACCCTGGACTTGCGCTAAAAGCTTTCAGCACAATTGTTTTATCAGCCACAGTTGAGTCCCCCCCTGGTTTCGACTTGTTCCCTGGCAATGGGGAAGCAAGGTTGCATGCATTGTTTCCATGGCCCCCCACGAATCCAGAAAGCCATGCCAAGAGGGCCCTGCCCCGTGTTTTACTCAGAATGACGGACCCAGGTGTTTTCATGTGTTCCTTGTTCTGGGACACCCAGGTATCATCAGGTGCCCCTCAAGTGTTCGTTTGGATTGGTGGTTTAACCCCAGTTGCTTTGGACACATGGGGAAGGGCCCTGACACCCAAACCAAACCAAACTATCAGTGGGGGTTAAGGTGAAGGGTTCCTTGTTTTGACCCCCTACTACCAAAGGGGGGGGGCCAGCTATCAGGTTCACCAGTGGTTTTGCATGAGGCCGCCTGCGATTTGAGCGAGCTCCTGGAGTGCGGGGGCAGGAAGATTACCATCTCCATCAGCCTGCGCCCAAGAATCCGATGCGGGTGGGCGCTGGAGGGATTTTGTGGTGAAGGGTTTCTTGGGTGTGACATGGGGTACTTCATTGAGCACCTGTTGGTTTGTTGGTTTCTTGGTTTCAGTTGCTTGGCTGTGTTTTGGGCATGTCAATGTTTGTGACTCACTCCGATTCGCGACAGAAAGGGGTTTTCTTGTTCGGTGCAATGGTTGGTGGTTGTTTGGGTTTATTCATGGGTGCTTTGTATGGAGCCAATTTTTGGACCAGAAGATTCAGATGGACGTAACTTTTGCCTGGGTGTGTCTGAATATCGGGGACCCCCAAATTTCGTGTGGGTGTGCCTTCGGCGCCGTTCAAACCAGCCAGAAAAGCGCCCAAAATAGACACCCACTTCGGGTTCAATTGCAGACTCACAGTGTCACAGCACGCGGGCCATAGACGGTCACCCTGCGTTGCAAATCGGAGTTGCGGTGGGGGGACAAGTGTGGCGGTATGAAAGTGCCTCCGATCTTCCCCAGAATTAGCTCCCCCTTTTGTTTTTTTGCTTTTTTGGGGCCCTTTTGGGGTCCCCATTGTTTTCCACTAACCATGCAAAAAGTATTGTTTTTGCGGGGGTCCTACTTCCACTTGGATTTGTGTGCCGAGGTCGGCCCAAGGCAAGAGCAGATGGGGGGCCGAGGACCGCGCGAGCGAAAATCCGAGCTCTGCGTGGCTGTTTCTCGAAACGGGACTCGGACCCTCTGTTGGCTGGGACTGTTAGAACTTGATTAGGGAACCCCCTTGGGGAGGGGGTTAACCATTGACTGGGTAAGCCGGAAGGCGGTAGGGAAAGGATTGGGTCGTGGGTTTCCTAATCAAGCTCCAAGATTGAAGGGAAAGCAGAAAGGAACCGACTGTGTTGGGGGACCGATTTCCATTCTGAGACACAACCTGATCTCGCAAGCCAATGTGATTGATCTCAGCCAACGAAATCGAGCCTATGGCCCCAAAAGGCGATCCTTTTGCCTTCTGGTTGCAAGTCCTCAGTGATTTCTTCTTTGAGCAAGGCCTTTCGAGGTGCTTGGGGTTTGGGGCAGAAAACCTGTGGATGGCGCAGCATGACTAGTTGCAGGTTGTTGCTTCCCCCATGTTGGCTGCTTAATTCTTTGCAGAGCTTTCTCAAACATCCCCCCAGAATTGTTTTCCGAGAGCGGTGCGACTCGCGCAGGAAGAAGCGACGAGAGATCCAAATTGCTGGCGCCTCAACCCGTTCTCGGAAGGCCTGCGTCTACAGCAGGTGACTTCCCTAGACCTGTGCTCCCATTTGCTTTCGATTGAATGGGAGGACCTGCAGCAGCACCAACACAGAGCCATACAGAGCCTATTATCAGGCCAGTACACGAAAAGTCGTTGCTCAATGCAACTGAAGGCAATGGTAGAACAAGGGAACTCCAAGCATCAAGCACATACGACATATGCAATGAAGAAGCAACCCAGCCCGAATCGAGCCTTGCTGCCTCTTTCTCCTGGCAGTAGGCCAGCCGAAAGTTTTGCATTCCAGCAATCAAAGAGGGTTGGAGGTGAGATTGCCACCCGAACGCGTCACACGGTGCTCGGGGGTTCGGCACCCCCACCAACTTTGCCACTTGCCGGTGCTTTTTCATGGTGCTTGCTTAGTTGGGGAACAGGATTAACTGTCTCATTGCTTGTTTGGCTGTCAGCACATACTCCAAATGAAAGGGGTCCTGTCAGTGTGAGCAAGAAATCAGGTCAGGCTTGTGTGGCTTGTCCAGAACGGGGGTTGACATCAAGCTACAGGCAGAGGTGGCAGAGGCCCGCGAGTAAGGTAGTTGAGCCCCACGCGGATTGCCTTCCTGACCTGTTTCAGGAGAAAGGGAGTGGTTTTGGCTGAGTTGCATCTGTGCTGCTCTCGGTCCTGAATAACATGCGTGGGTGGTGTGTGTGTGTGTGTGTGTGCAGAGGTGTCCAATCCAATTGGGACGGTGACTGGCCAAATGGATCAAGAATGAACGCCAAGGGGCAGGCGCTTGCATGTCAAGCCCTTTGGCGCCATGACTGGTCATAGGCAAAGGCAGGAGATGCATGAAAGCCAAGGCGAAAGCTGTTCTGAGTCCAGACAAACTGACCCTGAAAGAAGACAGGAGAGCGCAAGTTTCAAGATCAGCCAGCTTTGACAACAGGGACTCCTGTGGGAGCACTTTCGCTTGCCGCTGCTTAATTTGTGGACGGCATGCGGCGGCACTGCCGAAAGGAGGAAGGTGACGTAGACACACGCAAGTCATGGTCCGACAGCGTGACGTGACGTAAAGGCAGCGTCCCCGAAAGAGGGAGAGGGAAGGGAGAGGGCGGGTCAAGAAACCGCAGCGAGATGGGAGAAATGCTTTCTGCCAGGCTGGTTCTGCCTCGTGAACCCCAAGGTGGGGCCTGCGGGAAGGACGACAAACGTATGTTTTAGGACGAAGTTCGGCAGGCGTTTGCGTTTTATGTTTGCACCCCCTCGTTTTCACCCACTTGTTTTTGTTGATTTCACGTGCTGCCGCAGGCCCACTTTATTTCACCCACTAAGGGGCTGGTTTCGGTTAGGCGTGTGCTTAGGAAATTAAAACTGACACACCCAAATCCTAGACATTTCAACCCTGAGAGGGGGGGGGTCCGTTGCCGTTTGCTTGTTCTTCGAAAGAAGAAGCTCAGCTTGGAGAATGGGAAGCCCTTCAGCAGGGAAGCTGAAAAGCTCCCGGCGGCCATGTCCAGGTGAGCCATGGCACAGGAAGGATATTTCCCCTTAAGGGCTTAAATCTGAGAAATCCGCCATGTCGGCAAGTGAGTTTCCCGCGAAGGCGAGATGATGTGAAGAAACAGATGCCCAAAAGTTAAGCTCTGCAATTATCTCTTGCGCTTGGCAAGTACACGATGAGCCTATATGTCTGTGGGACTCATAGGTATGCGTTTACTCCCCTGCATGCTCATAATAAACCCAAAGAGTGGTCCCCCCCGCCCAAAGATTCCCTTAAGAACGGAAATAGCGTTGTTTTGGAGGTTGTGGTTAGTGAAGGGAGCCTGCCTGGCTTGGCGGTTTCCGGCTGGTAAGGTGGACCAAACGGAACACCAACACTTCAAATAGAGTCCCACTATTTGACGCATGCCCGGATTGATTCATGGGTTGGCGATTTGAAACAGTCAGAGCCCCTGCTCGTTAAACGTTGCACTTGCCGGTAATTTGTTGAGCGCCTTTCGCGCCAATTCAAAGCGCCTGTCCTTTTGGGCTGTGCAGTTTGGACACGCAACCGAAAAACCGCTATCGAGCCTAGGATTCATGGGACCGATTCTTGTGAGAAACACCCATCTGGCTGTTCATTTCAATAGGGACCCCTCACAAGTGGCTGGTGAACATGAATCCCCACCTGAATGATATTCACCAAAACATCGCCTATTGCACACCTATATGAATGGTGCATGGCTCATAGAGAGGTGGAGAAGCACATGATCGTCACCGCGTCCACGGACGTGTACATCGCCACCGCGCCCGGACGCCTTCCGAATGAGCGGTTTTGGAGAGGGGGGGGGGCCTGTGGGGGGCTTTGGGGGGCTTTGGTGGCGCAGGAGTTTTGGGGAAGCCCTGTAAGCTCTTTCTACAGGCTCCGGGCCAATCAGCGGCGATTCGATATGTGAAGATGTTTTGGTCCTTGCGGTTGCTTGTCCCATGCGGCGTGGGCGGGCAGGAAATGGAGGAAGAGCAAGGCCTCGTGACACACGCACAATCGCTCAAAAGCGTACAAATTGAGAGGTCCAAGCCCTTCTTGTGATGCTTAGGGCATAGTCGTGTTAACAGCATGGGCATGCGCTTTGAGCCTCAGGCGTGGCCCTGTGAACTCCTACCATGTGCAGGCGCGGATGGTGCGTCGGAACGCCGGGTGTCGAGGGGGACCGGTTTGATCTGAGGCTCCAGTGTCTCCTTTTCTTTATCCCCAGGTGCCTTCTTTTTCCAGCTACTTTGACCAAATTATGGGCTACTAGTGGGTAAAGTGGCTGGAAAAAAGGGGCTACTTGGGGTTCCAGGTAGGAATGGTCAGCCCCCTTTTTCGGGTGCCTTATTCCCTACTAGACAATATGCCACTGGACAGGGCCGCCGCCCCGCTCGGGAAACCTTTTGATGCGCCTGTGGGATGTGTGAAGACACTGAAAATCGTGCGGGAAGCTTGGCCCATCCCAGACGAAACCACCACAACAGTGGCCGTAAGACTTGTTTTTCGCTCTCGTCCCCCCCCCCCCCGTTTTTGTTTGTTTGTTTTTGTTTCTTGTTTTTTTCCGGTAACCCAAGTGAAGGGTCGGCGGTCGTGCGTTGGCTCACAAACAAGGCCCAAACTGCATTGGAGGGCACACAGCCCAGGTGTGACAAATAGGGCGTGTGCTATTTGCAGATACCGTCAGTTTGTTCAGGGTGAAAAGGGAAAGCAAAGCAACACCACATTTTTGTTTAAATGTTGTTGTCGTTTTTTTTTTGTGTGTATTTTTTTGGGGGGGGAGGGGGCGGGGTGTCCCCCTATTGGGACCGCATGCAGGTCCTGCCCGTGAAGCACGCGCCGTACCCTGAGTGAGCGTTTGGACCATTTTATTGTGGAGCGTCTTTTTTCAGTGTGCCCCCCAAAATGGCTTCGGTTTTCCTTGTGGTTTGCCTTTAAAGCCACCCAAGCAGGGATACCCCTGCAAAAGCCCTCCCCAACAAAAAACGGAAGAACACCAAACAACAACTCGGGATGGCTGCGGGTTGGGTCCTACAGCCCCTTGCGCCTTGGGGGTTGCCCCTAGACACACGCTACTCACGGTAGATGATGGTATGTCAGGACCGTTTAGCTCAGATGATCTCGGATGGACATGTTGTATAGACGCGGGTGGACAAGTTGGAGCGTTTGCATCCTTGATTCAGCGGAGGGTTCTTGTACGTTTCACCCATACGCCAACAAGACAAACCTTTCGCAAGCTTCGGGCCGGGTGCGAGCTGTGGCGCCATGGGAACCCAAAGAAAGCAACTTTGGGAACTCCAGTGATTAGCTTCAGGTTGCACCTGAGTGCATGTAGATGGCGTAATTCCCCCGCCCCCCTCCCCCCAATTTGGGCTGATATATACACATAGTACTATATAGTCCTCCCTCTTCACTTAGCCGCATCTACCCGGAATTGTGTCATCTTGGTCCATTGACAGGGTATTCCGAGAGCGCCAAACTCAGGCCCTGCTTCGCCGCTTGCCCCCCGGACCTGCAGAAGGCTTTGCAGGCGTACAAGAGAGGAACGCTCCGGGCGTTTCACCTTGGGGGTTCCCATCCAACCTTGGACTCTCGATTCGCAAGGGTTGCCCCAGCCCTTTGCCAAAGCAAGCCATGGCTCAGCTGTGGCCGTGTAGCGGGACACCCATTGAGGCCAACTGGCATGGACCAACCGGACCGTGGACTTTCCAGAAGGCGAATCACGGCCAAAGCTGCCCGAAAGCTCAGGGAAGCGACTTTCTGACCCCGAATTTGGTATTGCTTTAGGAGCAAAGGTGGGCCAAGATCATGGGTGAGGTGGGCGACTTTGTGGTACGTCCTCACTTGGCTTTAGGTACAAAAACTTGCAACGCGTGGTTCACGTGGCTTTTCAAGGTTGCCAGGGCAGTGGTCCAACCCCTCCAGAAGACGCCCAGACAGATAGGTGGTCCCGAGGGTGCCATCTTTTTGTTTGCGTTCTTTTCGGGACACAAACAGAACAACACCGCCATCCGTGTACGCAATTTCTCGGGAGTCGCGATGCCTCACGGCGACTCCTAAAGGAAAGACACACCCATATACAAAGGTAGATAAACAAATATACATATCTGTATGTACATATATCTATATTTGTATAAACACATGTAAGTATATATATATATATATATATATACATATATGTATGCATATATGCACATATATATATATATATATCTATACATATATCTATACATATATACATAGACACCCATATGCCTTGATGCCAGCGCCAGGTGCAGATGGCCGCCTTGCGGAAGATGTTTCTCGACGCAGGCGCGGGCGGCGGGTCGGGGGGCATTTCAGAGCAGTGGACCAGTTCTCTGCGCTGGCTGGCGCGTGAAGTCCAATCAGCTTTTAGTCTTTCTGGCATGGACGGAATTGATGGACAAACTTTGGAAGGGAGGGATGTTTGATGGCGTGCTGCCTCTTCATGCTTGATGTTTGATCATTTGGCCAACAGATGTGTCATTGGCAATGCCCTTGACTCACATTCGAACCCAGGTCCACAGGAACTCAATTCCTTGCGCGGGCCTCATGTTTCGCATGCCATGATGCAGAAAGCTTTCCCAGGAACTCTCACCTTTGATGAACGGGAACCCAGGATGAATATAGTCCGTTGCACTGCTAGGATTTGACGTTTTGGAGGGGCTTTCCTTGGCTTGGAACACCCTCCAGGTTGATATTGACGTGGGGGTCACCACCCACTTGCTGAAGGACTAAGTTGGAATGACCCCGAGGAGATCCATCCAGCTGGTTTTCTTGGTTTGTACTCGTCTCGACTCGAGTCGAGCGATTTGGCCAGGGCAGGAGTGCCTGCAGCAGCCCTAGCGGGCTCCAAGCCACAGATAAGGCTTTGAACATGGGGGTGGCTAATATATATAAAAGGTTAAGCATGTTCCCTTTGGGGTGCCTGTCACACAATGTGAGGTTCCAACAAGTTGGTGCTTCTATGCTGGGACCGCGACAGCGATAGAGAGAGAGAGAGAGAAAGAGATAGAGAGATCTGTGCGTTCGGATAGTATGTTTTTTGGTGGTTTGGAGCGAAACCAGGTAGTTACCCTTTTTTCCGCAGCGCCTAGAGATTTGGAGTTCAGTGCCCTTAGCGGGGGGCTTGATCCGTTGGTCCATTTGAAGGGGTGACGCTGATCTGGGAGTTTATATGACCAAGAGTCAACAGGAACATTGGGTTAACCAGATGCCTCATTTAGTCACGATGCTGGTGGCATGTCCTGGGCTAACATGGCTAACTTCCCCATTCTTTTCAGGCGCCCCATCCAAGCCAGCTCTGTTGGTGGTGGAAGTGGGGAGGGGGGGGTTGGCCCTTGGCCCTTGCACTTCTCCCTATGACTAGACAAATGGCATAGGGTGGACCCCCCACCCCGCCTCCCCCTTACAGGCAGGGGGATACGGAACTGCAGCTCCGAGGATTTGGGAGAGATGGATTCCCATGGGCCTATCCGCAGCCAACCACATGCCGCGGGCTCGCGGCAGTGCAGCGAAAGTTGTCCGCTAACTCGTCAGTGCGGAGGCTATATTCCTTGGATCAACTCAACATGGAGCGCTCAAACTAAGAGCTTAGCGCTGGTTGCAGGTTTCAGGTTTCGTCTTGGTTTGCGTTTGTGTGTGTGTGTGTGTTTTGTTGCGAGGTGGTCCTAGTGGTTAGACAGAAGGAGCTCAGCGGGCAGGTCTGAACAAAATCCGACAGCCCCATGAGCCGGTTCAAGTTCCAAATCAAGCCCCGGCCCCAAAAGCGCGGGCCCGCGTCACTATTAAACGACCTTGCTATAAAACGAGGCCAAGGTTTTGAGCACGGAAAACATGGACAGTTGCCCGTGCCGTCAGAGCGTGCCGGCCGTCAGCGCTCATGCAAGCGCCGAGGCAGATCCAAGTTCTGCCCATCGACCAGGCCCGCGCAGACCTCAGTGGAGGTTGTGCTCAGGCAAACCCGCGGAGAGCGAAATGGGTTTGCCTCAAAAGGGCCAACCCCCCCACCCCAAAAGAAGAGAAACGGGTTGTTGTTTTTGTCGTTGGCTTGCAACAAAACGTCACCACATGGGTACTCTTCACAAACTTGACGCACACCCAAATAAAGGGACCTCGAAAGGGCACTCTTGAACATGACTTCTCTCCTTTCGTTGCACAGCGTGGAGGAGGCGGAACGTCTCGTTTTCGCGCTTGTCCTTGGGATCGTCGCGCTTTCATTGGGATCAGCGACAGCCAGGGCTACAAATGGAAGTGCCCAAACCACCGGGTAAGTTTTGCGGGTAGCCTTCCTTTACTGCCAAGCCCACAGTACCCAAACCTGACAGGAGCATAAAGTTGGGTTGATGCACATTGCCCCGAAACAACGGAGGCGTCGCTTTCCGAACAGCACCAAACAAGGATCTCAGCACTGTGGGCACGGCCAAATTCAAAAGACGGCTCGGAAAAAAACACCAACATTCAGGGAGGGACTTGTTGAACAGTGAGACGGCATTCGCCCCCACCTCGCCCACCTTTGTGTGTTTTCCCTTCGGCTCTTACATCAATAGGCACCTCTTCAGGCGTCTCAACCGTGACTCTCGCGGCTCCCTTGTCCAGTCTGGGGACCTGTCCGCTGGCTTCAGGAATTCGGATGGCACGGTCGTGTCTCGGCCGGGAGGGGAGGCGATGCCATGGGACCGCGTCCTGGTGAACTTCGTCCAATGCAGGCCGCAGAGCGTGGCTCGGCAGTTTCATCGCGGGGGGGAAGTGGTGGTTTTCCACGTTTTTGTTTGTTTGTTGTTTTTTCTCGGAGGCGCGGTACCCTTTTTTGGGGTTGGGGAAAAAATGGGGTTCCCCATGTTCCCCCAAAAAAGACAGCCCCAAATGGAGGCTAAGCTGAGGGCTGAAGTTCCTTGGGGTGGAGATCATTGGCCTCAAGGCTTCCAAGTCCTCTTGCCGCTTGGGCACAAATTCCTTGTAATGGTACCGGTTTTGGTTGCTCATGCCGCTTGGCCTGCTTGGCAACCAGGTGGAAATGGACCAGCCCCCCCCCCCGCGCACCAAAAAAAACCGGAGGAAGAACGGAGGATTCTCCTTTTTGAGCTCCCATTTGCACCGCCCGCATCCAGCTGCCATGGGCTGCTCCCATTCTTCCCCAAAAGCATAACTATAGGCCTTTAGGAAGGGAGGCGGGGAATGGTGGGGAGCAGACAGTTCGCTTCAGGTCAGAGACTCCATGCGGAGGGTGGGCTGGCGAGAATGTGAGCAAGGCGGGTGCCCGAAACGGGCTCCACTCGTCTTCTTGGCGTTGCAAACTCTCACTTGGAACGCAGCAAGCAGAGTTCAAATCCGAACATCGACGCCCTCTTGGACGGCTGGTGTTTCGCCCGAGAAATCAAACACGCAGGCGCGTAGCAGTCAGCTGGCACCCGGACGGCCACATGTTATTGGCCAAGTTTTCAGGTGGGAAAGCTGAGCGAAACCGCAAGAATCCAGACCGGAAACGAGTTTCCGGTGTCCACGCCGACCTTAAAACCTTGAGTTTGACAGTGGTTTCCGGTTCCAACCGCTGAAAGTCCCGATTTCGATGCTGTTGACTCGACTCGCAGGGGAGGACTGGGATGTGGCCTGGGCGGACACCACGGCGGCCTTGTACCGGGCGGTGCTCACGCTGAAGCCCTTCCAGCGGGTGAACCACTTCCCGCCGGGGCCTCAGCCGCGCTGGGGCTGGGGTTGTTTTTAGGCGGTTTCAGTTTCTGGACGTCGGACACGTTGCCAGTTCATGTTGGGGAAGGTTTAGAGGCGCTACTTCTTTTGAAACACCAGTTGAAACTTGAGTGCGAAAGGGTACACAATCTTCTTTTGGCTTTGTTGGAGACAGGTTTGGAGAAAGATTGGACATGTATGGGGGGGGCGGTGTGACGGCAACCGCGGACCCTTGAAGGCAGACCAGGGGTGGTGACTGAAGGGTAGCTAGCTTTTGCAGGGACCACAGATTTTAGTCCTTGAAACCCATTTGCCAGGGCTCCATGTTGGAGTTGCCCCATTGTCTTTTGACGTTTAAACCGACCATCGGAATTTTGCCCTCCACGCTTGGAGAAACCCTGGCTTTCGGCACGCCAGGGCTGTTTTGCGCGTTCGACACTTTTCCTTGAGATCCAGTTGGAGAAACAGGGCCCCCCTTCTGAACGTCTGAAGGATGTCGTTCGACCTCTTTTCTAGTGCGGAGGAGATCGAGCGACCTTTATCCACAAAGAAGCCAACACATCTGGGTTTGTTTCAAGGGGCACCTCCTCCACCTCCCAAAAAGCATGGTTTCCTTTCAGTTTCTTTTAAACCCACCCCGAAAAAGGGCCCTCCAGAAAACGAAGCACATTTTCATACCTGCCTGGTTTGAGCCTGCCCCAAGACCAAAACAACAAAACCAGGTGGCATCCGGGATTAGAAAAAAGAAAAACAAAAGCAGAACAAAATCAAACACGAAACAAAAGCACACAATCAAGACACGGTCCTTTCAGCGGTCGGGGATATAAAGCAAGAAGCCAAACCACGAGCTCTCCGCGCTCTCGCGGAGGCTGATGCAGATGCTCTGCCGCAAGGACTTGTTGGCGCAGCACCTGCGGTCCATGCAGCAGCTCTGCCCCTCCGGGGCCAAGGAGTTCAGCCCCTCGGCGGGCGCAGCACGCGGAGCTGGCGGGGGGGGGGCGGAGCGGGCGATGTGAGAACGCGTCTTCGAAGGGACGGAGGGAGTGGATCCCTGGCTTCTTTGTTTTGAGGGTGCCCCCTTGTGGACTTGTGGGGGTAAGAGGAACCCAAGAACCAAGCTCGCTTCTGGGTATCCAAGTCTTGTCCAAGGTGAAAATGGCTCTGGTTGTCCTTTTGGGTTTCCTTTAGCAAAAGGAGTACCCTCAAACAAGATAACCCCATCATGGCAGCCAACAAAAGAAAAAACACCCCCAAAACCAACTGCCATGATTGTTGGAAGGAGGGTGTGCCCAAGTTCCATTTCTTGCCTGAGCCAGGCTGGCAAAGTCGAATAATTCGCAACAAATGGAGGCTTCTATTTCTTGGCGACAAGGCAAACCTAAACCCAGGGGTTAATTTCTCAAGGTTCAGCTCCTTGGTGTCAAAGAATGGAGGCTTGTATCCCTTCCAGCTTCTGAAAGGTCTCATTCGCGTCCCGTCTCTTCATCTCGCTGTTCACCTGGCATGTCTCGTTACTTGGAGCCCCGAGTTTGGGCGTAAGCCTTCCCTTTCGGGCGCCTTCTGAGCTCCGGGCTTCGGCTCTCAAGAGTTCTGGTCAGCGCAGGTCTTGTCAAGTCTCAAACTGGCGGCTTCGCCCCCAAATTGTAACGTAATGGAGAAATCAAGTGACCCCTGTTACACCTTGCTTCCTTTCAAGCTTGTGGGGGGGGGGGGGAGCATTTTTCACGTTTGCTTGAAGGGAAAACAGCGGGAACGACAGTTTGAGGCCGCAAATGCATATCAAAAACGCTTCTTTTGAGAGCCAAGGCAAACACCAGAAACGACATAAAGCTGTTGGCGGAGGTGTGTTCCTTACGGCCCCTCCCCGTGCAACAAAAAGCAAACCTGGCTACAACGGAGAAGTGTCTTTTGTCCAGGGTATCCCTTTCTGGGAGTGCGAGAAAGAGAAACCAACGGTAAAAAACCACACAATTTAGTGGGGGGTCCCCCAACAAACTTGGGCGATTATTTTGGTAATCGCCCATGTTCAATGCCGATGTCACTGGGCACTCGGGGCCATGCGCAGCACACATTGCGCTCGTGACGCGTCTTAGGCTTTTTCCCGCAGACGTGGGTGCTGCCAGGCCACGGGCCCGCGGCGTTGCGGCATTTGTTCAATATATACAAATATATATATATATATATATGTGCATATGGTCACACCCACCCCCATGATCTCACTCGAGGTAGATCATGGGGGTGGGTGTGAGCATATATATATATATATATATGTGTGTGTGTGTATGTTACCCCCCCATTCCATGGACCCTGGTTTTACTGCCTTTTGGGGATGGCAAATCTAGAGTCTCAAAATTTAGAGCCTCGAAATGTCCAATTGTGGGTCCCCAAAGCCTGATACTTTGGAGCCCGGAGTCCTCCATAATGTCCCAATATGATACCCAGACCAAATAGGATTTTACTTCAAAATGGAATTTAAATATAGTTTAGTAAGGATATAGTTTTCAAAAATGTGTTTGTGCTCAATTACGGCTAAATAAGCAAGTCCTTTCCACATAGGACCTACATGAAAATGT